TTATGAGCATGAAATTGCAACAGTGTAGAAATATAGCCTACCTAAATGGCCCCTCGACAACTAGGAGCAAGGAGGTGGCAGATTATGCTGCGAAATCGGCTCTTGAAAGGGTTTCATGCAAAATCTTTGGGGCTCTGCAAATGCAAGCGACTCAAGATATTGACCATAAGAAATAATAACAATAAAATATCTGGCCGTACAACCACTAGCATCCAGCGCAAGTTGTTAGCAATCAATTTATTCAAACCTGCGTTGTAAATTTTCGTAAAAATGAAGCCAGTTGTTTGATAAGTGTGACACCTTGTTTCCGTCCTTTCTTTATGTTTTCGCAGAAGTTACATGTCAATTACTTCGATTGTTAAAATTACACTTGTATTGGCCTTCATCGTGTCTAGCAATAGAAGAATAATTTATCAATTTATCAATCAATTAATGTTAAATAAAGCAAAGTATGAAATAAAATTATGAATTATGAGGCACCTATTTTTCTTGTCTCTAATTTGCCTCCCGCATTTCTCGCTGCGATTGAGTCGAAACCGTACGGAGACTCTTTGATGAGAATGTATAGATGAAGGGGTGGCTGGAGAAACTGCTGCAAACGGCATCATTTGTTCAAACCCGAATGGTTAATAGTTCCATCTCCTTTATACAGAAAAATAAAACCCGACCTTACGGCTCTGACCCGACCCTAGATGCAAAGGAACGGTGCCTACGCGGCTTCAATCTGGTGTCGAAAACTAAAAAAAAATATTCCACCTAGTTTACTTAGATCTATCAAATGATGGCAAGGGCATTCATAGATCACCGTTTAGAAGAAAACTAACAACTGTGATTGTGAAGTGTCATGCACCTTTTCGTTGAAGGGTCCACCAGAAAAACGTTTTCTGATCACGACACGGGGAAGCGACCTGGCGGTTTTTTGGAGGCGATGGTCGTAGTAAATAAAAAGAGCACAAACAGCGGTAGTAGAGTCGGTTAGTTGTAACTATGTTTCTTCGATTAGCGTAATCCCCATGCCTGAAGGGCCTTCGATTTAAGTTTGCGAGTGCATTCACTGCATCAAACATGGCAGGCTGGTCGACATCGACAGCGGACTGGTTGCCATGATGAATGGGCAACAGTAGCAGACCGCGCCGTGGAGCCAGTTTTTTGAGGTCGCGCACCGTCTGATTACTGCCTACTACCGTACAGCACAACGTGATACAGTCCAATATTAATGGTCTCCTGTCACTTCACCGAATTTGCGCAGCTTAATCACTCCGACCCCTTGTTTCTTGTAATCTAGGGAACAGTTTAAGCAGGTCACGGCTCGGCTACATCACATTTTAGCATCAGCGGTGCATTGACACAATACGGCACCACT